AAAAGAACAGAATAGACACAACAACACACACACAAGGGAAGACAGATCACCTGTGAGAATCTTCTACAAGCCAATTAGAACAAAAGAATCCAAGAATGCCCAGGAATACTGATCATTAATGAATCCATATGGCTAAGACCTTAATTTGGACTTTTAGCCTTCAGACTGTGAGAAATAATTTTTTGTTCTTTAAAGCCACTTATTTGTTGTATTTCTGTTACTGCAGCAGTAGGTAACTAATACCTCCTTCTTTAGACGCTTGGTGATTGTGAGAAGGAGCCAGAAAGGTAAGTTTTCACCCTCTCAAACATCTCATGTTTAATTCTAGGGATTTCACATGGGTTTTCATTCTTCTAAGGGCCTCTGGTGGTGCAAAAGGCATTTGGCTGCAAACCAGAAGGCTGGTGGTTCAAACATCTCAGCTGCTCTGCAGGAGGAAGATGAGGTAATCTATTTCCATAATTATTTACTGCCTTGGAAACCCAATGGGGGTGGCCATGAGTCGGAATCAACTTGATGGCAGCGGGTTTTTGGTTTTCATTCTCCCAGAAACTTCTTGAAAATTAATTCTGTGGTTGTTTAATTTTTCCTCTATGTTTCCTAAGAAAATACCTTGTCAGTTTTAATATAATTTCATAATTATCTGTGATAGATTAATCCCCAGGGTATAAGGAATATTTTTGCAAATTTGAAAATTGTATGGGAATGAGGGAGAGAGAGAGTGTGTGTGTTTGTTGGAGGAACTGAGAGGACATTCACTTTTTTATTCCAATTTATCTTCAGCCCGTAGTAAATATGAATCTACTTTTGTCTGTATACATTTGCCTATTCTAGGTACTTCATAGGACCTCTGGTAGCATAGAGCCTAAGGTATTTGACTGTTAATCAGAAGACTGGCAGTATTTCATATAAGAAGAATCATACAATATTTGTCCTATTGTGTCTGACTTATTTCACTTAGTGTAATGTTTTCAATGTTTATCCAGGTGGTAACATTATCAGTACTTCCTTGCAATTTATGAGCTCTCTCTCTCTCTCTCTTTCTTTCTCTCTCTCTCTCTCTCTCTCCATATATATATATATATATATATATAAAACAAAATAAATATAAATATATATATATCAAAACAAACAAACAAACTCACTGCCATTGAGTCAATTCAGCTCATATCAACCCCTCCTTGGCTTTCCAAGGTGGTATCTCTAGGAAAGTAGTTTGCCCAATATTTGTTCCTAGGAGTGGTTGATAGGTTTGAACTGTCAACCTTCTGGTTAACAGTGAAAAGTCTTAGGCATTGTGCCACCAGAGCTCATATATACATCCTACTTTGTTTATCCATCTTCTTGATGTTAGAATTTTTGTCCAGGCCTCTCTGTTCAGAATTCATTGATTCCCTTGGCAGTATTTAGCCAGAGTCACTAAATGTTGGACTCACAGCCTTAGTGTCAGTTGACCTGCACCTATAGGTTATTATTTTTTTTCACATAAACATTAATCATTTTATCATCCCATTATTACTATATATTAGACAAAATCTGTCTCTAAGTAGTTATTATGGACTTCCTTAATTTCTTTCTAGAACACTATAGAATATATATACACAAACAAAAACACTGAAGTTTTAATAAAACTACTACTGAAATAATTTCTAAGAAGATATTTAGGTTATATTAGTCTAAATTATAAAATTTATTATTGAAGGGCCTAAAGAAGATAAAGCATAATTGGCTTATTACTATGAAACCTTTGCTAGCATCGAAAGGGTTGCCAGGAAGGTGATGTGCAAATCTGTGCTTAAGCACATTTTACCTCATTTCAGGTTAAAAGGGATGTTTAATGATGAAAGTGGTTCAAAATGAGAAGCAGTGTTATAATTCTGAACATGAACAAATCATGAAGTGTGAACAATTGCAGATCTCTACAATGAGTGTTCTTTAGCATTTGTTTGGCAAAATAACCGCTAATTGCTTAGCGTTGCAAAATCTGAACCAGGTTCTGCCACAAATTCACAACTAGAGTTGACCCTAGGTACAGGTGATTACTAACAATGTGTGAGCTCAGAGGTACTGGGAAGTCACCTTGTCTATGTGATCTCCTGCCAATATGCGACTTGTCTGAAATTTCACCATTTTGCTTCATTCTTCTGTTATAAAGAAATGTCTTTCTAAACATTGTCTTTTAAATAAAGATTATCCCTTGGGAAAGAGAGCAAATTAACTTATTATTGATGATATATACTTTGGTGTAAATTGGTTAATTAAATGTGTTTACTCAAACAGCTACCTGAAAACTGGAACCTGAGACAATATTGGTTTCTGTAATGAGAGGGAAAAAAAAAAGTGTTGGAATGGTTTTGGAGTGGGAAGGCCTGTATAGTAAATGGAATATGGCCCTGCTGCGTCTCATTGAGAAATGTTAAAAGATGTAGATGTTATATTTTGGTTTCATTGCCATCTCAGAACCACCCCAATTCTTTTTCAGGATGTAAATTGAATTTAAAGAAGATAAGCTTATTTGAAGTTAATATTCTACAAACCCTGATTGACTATTTTATATATATGATTAGACTGATTTCACTCATCTAAATTACAGAAATAATGGGATAATGAATATGATTATTATTTATGCAAAATTAGTTAATTTAACACATAGATGTATATACATTCTATATACATACATACACACACACACACATACATATATGTCTTAAAGGTTCAAAGGTTAAGGGGAAAATATGAATACAACTTAATTTACGACTATTGCTCGATGTGTTTTCAATCATTTTCTTATTTCCTCTAAGCCTGTTCTACATATTACACTCTTCATTATGCTGAGCATACATTAATGTAAAGATGCTTCACCTTCATTTCACTCGTGAGATTAATAAAACAATAATTACACTAAGAACAACCTCAAAAGCTGATTCAGGATCAGCTTTGATACACTGGTTCCCAGGATTTACTTCACCAATCATTTATAAATATGAAATATGGATATTTTTACAACTTTTAAATAGTAGTTTGAAAACATCTTGATTGTGGTTAGTTAAAAGCTAAAGAATGGTTCACTTTTTTTTTCAGGATATTCTCAATATTTTTTTTCTTTTATTTTAAGAGCTTGTTTTACATTTAACGTTACATGTACATTTAGTTTCTCTCTCCATTTACCACGTCCAGCTCTAACCCAGTCTCCTCCCCTCCCTACCCTGTAACCCTCCCCCTGTGCCCATCATATTTAGGCACTCTTGTTTGTCCTACATTTCCTCCATTTGAATGTTGCTCCTCTGGTGCCTCGTGGTCTATTGCTCTAAGGGATGTATTACCATAGAGCATGTAGGTGCATCACCCTGGGTTGAGCAGTCTGTGTGTACATCTTGTTAACTACTGGGCTGAGAGCCAGCCCCTGGGGGTGCATTTTATTCCAGGTGCAGAATGTGTTCCAGGGCCACTTTTTACCTCTTGTTAAAAGTATATGTTTACAAAAGATGCTAAGATCTGCTAAAGTGAGGGACTGCTTCAGAAGGGATCAGCGTCAATGTTACCTGCTGAATCATTTCCAGGCAACTCTTCCCCATCTGCCAGTGTTTAAATCTCTCCAGTGCTTCATCCACAGACAGTTTCCCATTCTTGACTTTTTCTTGCAGGAGGATAAGTTCTTCCTGTCCAGCAGCCAGGCAATCCTTGAGAGTGGAAAAGGCTTGATTCTCCATCCGAGCTCTGTCTACAATGGGAAAGAAAGGTGTTTTAACAGGTAATCAACATATGGGCATTTGTGGGGAGGGAAATATTCTGAAAAAATCAGCAGTTTTGAGGTTTTTATTCCATAAGCAATGATAAAATAAATCATTATATCTTCTTTATGATTTTTTTATAGGGATGGTGGCTTCTGAAACTAATAATCATGGAATTAAATTAAAAAAAAAAAAAACTTAGGTCTCATTACTGAAGAACTTAGAAGAATGAGAAGTGAATGAACAGAAGGAAAAGATCTCCTGGACTGCACAAAGTTGCGGGCAATGCTTTATGTTCTTTTATGAGGATTAAAAGATAGTATATGCATAAAATACTTAGCACAGTGCTATATTGTAAGCTAAATAAATGTTAATATTATTATAAGTAATAAATATTTGTGGAATAAACATAATCTCTCTAGCTTTGGGAAAAGAGATCTCAACCAACATGCAAACATCACTAGAGGTTTAGGATCTTTTTAAAATTTATTCCTGAAGTACTGGAAATTAAAAAAAAAAAAAAAATTGCTGGTCATTTTCTAGAGAATGGTTTTATTTCTAAAGTTTATTTTGGAGTATGTCCCTTACTATTTGCTGAGTACCGTAAGACCATCAGATGGTCTGAAATTCTATGTGTGGCTGCTAATACCATGCCAGAGACTAGCCTTAGGTGCAATGGTTGCAAATTGATAGACCATGGGCTGAATTCAGTGTTTTGTTTGTACAAGATGATGTATAAAGGCATAAATGGACCTGCATGCCTTTAGGGATGGCATATGATCTTTGGGTTACCACAAGCCCTGCCATTATACATAGTCAGCAGACAACTTACTGCACTTCTACCATCTGCCTGGTTACAGACTCATTTGAGTGTGTACCTTCTCATTTATATATTTCCCTTAGGTCTAACATGCTTACTGTACTGTCTCAGGAAGAGGGTAACTCAGCAGCAGCATATGTCTTAACACACTGTCAAATCTAAATATGCCACTACAATCTAGAATGAGGGAAGTAGGCCATGCTGCTCCACACAAGTGAGCTGCCCTTGGAGAAATCTGCTCATTAGAAAGGCTCTCTCATTGAAAACCTTTATTCAAGAAAGAAATGGATAAACCAGACTGTGTCAAGACCAGAGGATTTAGGAAATCAGGATTGTTTAGTCTCAAAAAGAAGGTTTTATGTATTCATTAGCAGATTTTAGTACTTAAGGAGACTTGGACTTCAGATAGGAGCTCTGGTGGTGTAGTGCCTAAGGCATTTGACTGCTAATCAGAAGGCTGGTAGTTCAAACCCACCTGCCGCTCTTCGGAAGGAAGATTGGGCAATCTACTTCCATAGTGATGTTGTTGTTGTTGTTATGTGCCGTCGAGTTGGACCCGACTCATAGTGACCCCTCCTTGGGTTTCCGAGGCAGTATCACTACGGAAGTAGATTGCTCCATCTTCCTTCTGAGGAGTGGCTGG